TAAGAAAAAAGATTAGCTAAAATTTATTTATTAAACAAAGCATAATAAAATTTACATTTTAAACATACATTTTAAAATTAAAACACAAAAACAAGGATTAATAAAAGAAACAAGAAAAATTTGAAAGAAACATCCGAGCTTAGTTGTTGCCTTGAATATCTCCAAATTTATTCCACAAATGTTCAACTAAATCAGCTTTGAGTTGTTGATGCATTTGTCTATCACGAATTCTAATTCGAGCACCCATCATATTGCCGATATTTGAAGGGATATCGGTAGAATACGTAAGATTCACTTGTGAAGTTCCGTTGGCCTCGGCTTGTTGAAACTCTGAAACATCAAATTGAGTGTATCCATCTCGTTCGTCTTCTACGATCATATTATGGAGTATGATGCATTCTCTCATAATCTTTCCAGCCTTGACTTTATCCCAAAAAAGTGTTGGATTTTTAACAATTGCAAAGTGAGCTTGTAAGACTCCAAAAGCACGCTCGACATCTTTTCGGACAGCTTCTTATCTTTGAGCAAATAAAACTGCTTTCGGCTCTTGTGGTATTGAAATTGATTGGATAAAAGTTGCTCACTTCGGATAAATGCCATCGGTGAGATAGTAAGCCTTTTGACACTCTCTTCCATTGACGGAGTAAGTGACTTACGGAACTTGACCGTTTATTATGTCATCAAAAACGGGAGAGCGATCAAGCACGTTAATATCATTTAAGGTACCTGGAGGTCCAAAAAATGCATGCCATATCCAGAGATCGTATGAAGCTACCGCCTCTAAAACGATTGTTGGTTCACCCGAACCACGAGTGTATTGCCCTTTCCAAGCAGTGGGACAATTCTTCCACTCCCAATGCATACAGTCGATGCTTCCTATCATCCCGGGAAATCCTCGATACTCACCAATATGAAGTAGACGTTGAAGATCTGCGGGTGTTGGTCTTCTTAGGTACTCGTCACCGAATAAATGTATTATTCCTTCCACAAACTTTTCCACACATACCCAAGTTGTACTTTCAGCTAGCCGGAGGTATTCGTCGACCGCATCAGCCGCAGTCTCATATGCCAAGACTCGAATAGCTGCAGTACACTTTTGGAGTGTAGAGAATCCAACCCTTCCAAGACCATATGTCTTTTGGCGAAAGAAAGGAATTTCGTTCGAGAGTCGATCGGCAATGTGCACGAACAGTCGTCTGTTCATCCTAAAGCGGCGTCGGAAATAATTTTCAGGATAGGTTGGAGTTTCACTGAAATAGTCATTCCGTAAACGTATATGGCCTGCTTCACGGTTTCTTTCGATATAAACATGTTTTCTCCTTTCCGGCCTCTCATCTTCTTGAGCAGAAGAAGCAATGACAAGATTCTTGAACGCTTGATCAAAACGTTGATCAAAATATTGATCAAACTCATCAGGATTATTACAAGAAGAAGATGCCATGCTTACGGACCTGAAACCTACACCTAAAAAAATTCAAAACAAATCATATTTAGAACATACACCAAAAAAAATTCAAAAGAATCATATTATTAAATATCTACAACTCGTGCTTTCATTTTCATAAGGTTAAATGTATGAACTTAAATAACATATCATAAGGTTAATAAGATACATGACACCATTTTAAATGTATGAACGTAAATAACATATCATTCATGTTTCATTTCCTCTTAAAGTTCCTAGTATATAATCATCAAAATTTTCTCTTAAAGTTCCTAGTAAATAACATCATTCATGTTCCGTTTAGAAAATAACAACAATACTTCCTATTCTATAATCATCAAACCTGCCTCAAATTTTAAAGGAGAGGAGATTAGAAAATAACAAACTGATAAGCAAATATTTTGATTACTTGCATCAATGCTCTGAAGGAAATATACAACAAACCTTCCCAGTATGAGTACGGAAAATAACAACAACACTTGCAGGAGAGTAGAGAGGGTAGAAAATAACAACAACACTTGCAGGAGAGTAGAGAGAGTAGAAAATATTTTTAGAACAATGAGAGTAGAAAATATTTTTAGAACAATGAGAGTTGTGGTACAAATTACACATAGAGTTCGTCTCATTTTAAAGACAATGAGAGTAGAAAATAACAAAGACAAATTACAACATCAGGCTTGTGACACAACAAGACAACTAGAGAAAGCCTTACAAAAAGGAAAAGTCCCGTGACCGACACAACAAAACAACTACACCACCTCTGCTTTCAGACGTCCGTGACCACTTCCAAATCACCTCCCACGCTACTCTGACCCACCTGAAATCAAATAACAGAAACATAACATAAACTGATGATGACATTATTAGAACACAACATGAACAGAAAATAAATATTACCCTAGATCATTTCGGCAATCAACTTGGCATTAAGAGCTTCTTCAACATCAGTTAAAGGCCCTTTTTGGCAATGAGAGTCTCTAGGATATCCAGCTTCTTGATTTCTTTTTTTGATGCCAAGTCTATCTCCTTAATTTCCCACAGGCGCTCAAACCCAGAGGAACTAGCTTCACTGGCTCTCTTAGCACTTCCTCTTTCCGATGCCTTAACACCAGGGGGACGTGGCTCACCTTCATTTGTAGTTGCCTGAGAGCTTTCAGATTGAGCACCATCTTCACATTTTCTCTTCTTAGCGGTTCCATCCATCTTACAAGTAGCAGCTTCACACCATTTTTGGTCATACCACAGCTCTTCCCACGCATGTTGGAGGGTGAATCTGTGTTGATGATTTTTGGAGAAGATCGTGTGTGCTTCAAACACGATATCATTTTCATTCATACCAGATTTTGGTTGCCTTGTTGTTGCGTGATAGGCTACTGCAAATTTGCAGACTTGATCATTTATCTTTTGCCACCTTTGCTTGCACTGGATAGCCTCACACTTCTCAAAACATTTAACCTTCGGACTAGCGCCATAGTAAGTAGCCACTCGTGCCCAGAAAGCCCGTGCTTTTTGCTGGTTGTTTACAATTGGATCCTTGCTCGTGTTTAGCCAAGCGCTAATGAGTATTATATCTTCTGTGGGAGTCCATTTCTTTCTCTCTTTGTGCTCTGTAGTTCTCTCTTCACCGATACTTGATGACTTTGTACGTTGCGTACTAAAAACAGGGAGCTGGGACAAGCTTTCAGGAAGAAATGGTTGAGGACTGTAACAATCTTGTTGACTGTTCAAAAGATCTACAAAATTGTTCGAGTCCATATCAAAAAGAAGAAGTAAAGTGAGAGTTTCACAAAGAAGAAGATACAAGTTTAATAGAAGAGAAGAGACAGTAGTTGGCATTTATTAACCGTCATAATGTTAAACTAACACAATCTTCGAGTTGAGTTAAGATGAGTTGACATAAATCTAACCAATTTATTACATTTCACACAGAGTCCTAGTGTAAAACTAAACTCAAGCATTGATCACACACGTTTATTACATTGCCAACATAAATCTAACACAAGCATTGATCACACGTGTTTTACCTAACCATAACCTAATTGTAGTTGGCATTTACTACAAGCCACGCATTGAAAATACCAGATTTGAAGATTGAAAAATTTACCTTACCGGGAAGCCCGAAGGAGTGGTTGATTCTCCAAGACATGTGATGTGTTTTAGCCTCTTCGAGACAACAAGCTCAACCACCAATAGAAGACTCGCAAAAGAGATTAAACGGAATTAATAAACAGATTCAATACTCTATGTACAAATTTAAGTAGATGATAATTAAATTGTAAACATAGATGACCAATAATAACAGCTTCAAGTATGTGCTTTCTATTATGCAAATACACACACGAGTACACACATGAATAGACAACCGAAACAGAACAAACATAAGAGCTTCAATATTAGCTATCATTCACTGGAACAACTCATTACACAAAGAATGATCAGTTTTAACTTAGA